AATGAGCATCCCATTCAGGTGCAAAAGACTATTCATATTAATTATCCAAATTAATGTGTGGTATCTCCTTACACTTCCAATGAAGAGTGATGCCATTTCACTGAATAAACAGCAACACCTGCTGTATCTGGACATTCACTATAACAGAATTTTTGCCTCGTTTTACAACCACTCCACGTCTTTAATATTTGTTCATAAACTATATACAGAAATTTCCCACCAAAGTTTTTATTTTCTAATATAACATGTGTGTTAATATTGTACTTTTAATGTAAAAACTTGGCATAGCTAATAGCAAGAAAGTTTAAACAAATTAGTCTGGGGGTAGACATTTTCCACCTGATAAAAAATTTGACATCTGTGACTTTTACAAAGGAACCTGCAGAACAATAGATGGTGTGAGACATTATAGAATGAGCCTGGCTGCACACACTAAGCACATTTAAGGCCCCGAACAGAAATGGCAAAAAGTAGTTGCCTCTAGGGAAAGGGACTCTGGGTGAGGAGAAGTAAAGCAGGAGACTGTTTTCATTTTAAGATCTCTTCTGGGCTGTTGTCATGTTTATTATAATTATCATTTTGATTAAACATTTTAAATAAATTTAAATGTACAGTATGTATCAAGGGATGTCCAAGTCTCCTACATAAATTGATTACATTATAAATTATCCAAAATTTTAAGAAGTGACGCGAAGGCTTAACATCTTAAATCGCGTTCTGAGTTAGTCTATTATTTCGGTATAATATAGTTTTATTATTTTACTGAATTCAAATTCACTGAAGACTGGTAATAATAAAAAACATATATACACACACACATAGAAAGAGCGTGTATGTGTGTTAATACACTTGGAACACTCAATTCCTCAATCTTCACTGAGATATCTGGATTTCCTACCTATGTTTCTCCTCCATGTTTACCATGGGTTGTCTGAGTCCCTCTGCTAGTGATAACCCACGTCATAGCTTCCATATATCCCAGATTTTCCAGCACTGTCCAGCTTGTGCCATTTATTGTAGTGACTTTGCTATCACTGTCAATACTCCAAGTACAGTTATAGACAGCTGACTTAAGAAAACTAAAAATGTGAACTAAAATATAATCAAGTGTTTTTAGAGTTTCTTCTTCACCTAAGGTCTGTGCCACACTAGATTTTGGAAAACTGGGGTGCATTCCTTTTCTCAACTATTTTAAACACTCTGATTTAAAAAAAAACCTTCAGGTTCCCCTCCCTTTACACCACCAATTCTGTAATTTTGCAATACTTTAAATTCCTTTCCTACCCCAAAATAGCTTCTTGTTTCTATTATCTTCTCTTAAGAATCCTCCCTGGGACAACAATCTGACAGTGCATCTTTTAATGCTAAAAACTGTGTTAAGGATACCAACCTCATCAAGGCAAATAATTATTTGCAAAACAATACCAGTCAAATTCAGTACCAAAAGTATGTACCAAGAAAATCACTTAAATTTCGAAAGTGCAAATAAAGCAAAAATTAGAATGAATTGCAAATTCATTCATTTAAGACTAACTGATTTTTGAGGGAAACCAGGAAGGAAGCAGTTCTCCTTTCAGAAGGGCCAGATACAAATGATGAAGATTCCAGGACACACCTACATGCATTTCTGTCAAGTGACTTCTAGGCCTCCTGGTCCATGGTAAATCTACTCCTTTAGTAGTGGAGGAACCAAACTGTCCCAGCAATTGTGACCACCAGATTAGCAGGTATTTTATTTGGTTTCCCAAACCTCTCTGCTTCAAGTAGGTTTTAGCAAATTATCTTAAAAACAAAGACTGAACCCAGGGAAATCTAAGTTCTGGAGCTTAAATGCACACGTTAAGTACAGTGCCTTAAGTGTATATAATCAGGCTGAGACAGGAGTGAGCAAACGATGCTCCCTTGAGGGAAGGATCTCGAAAGATGCAGCAGAGGAAGTCCTCCATACTTTCGTTCGCGTGCGGAAGGTGGGGGAAATGGTGTTTCAAGTGCAGAATACAATCACTAATCGGGGGAGGGTGCTGACCAGGGAGTGGGGCACTGCAACAGCAGGGTTGGCATTAACGCATCCCTCGATTCCCGCAGCTGCGGTCGGGGGTGGGCCGCCGGCGACGCGGGAAGCGCAGGTGGGGCCGGGGGCAGTCCCCCGCGTCGCCGCCGCCGGCTCCAGGCCTGCCCCCGCGAGGCGGGGAGGCGCGGAGGCGCGGAGGCGCGGCCCGCGGATGGGCCCACGCGCCTGCATCCCGCTCCCCGCCCCGCACCTACCGTGGAACTCGAAGTGGCCGATGCTCTGGCCCTCAGCGTCTCGGGCCGCGGCGCTGCTGAAGCTACCCCGCAGGGTCTTACCCTGGCTGCCCGGCGGCCACCAGCAGCAGGTGAGGGCCACCGCCAGCAGCCGCAGGGCTCCCATCCCCCCCCACTTCCCGCTTGGCACCCACACCCCGGCCCTAACCGCCTGCTGCCGCCTTCCCCACGTCGGCAGCCGGGGCTGAGGGAGGAGGGAGCAGGACCGGCGTCCCAGACCCGCCCCCGGAAGGCTGACAACCTATGTGGCAGGCCCCTCCGCCACGAGCCAAGTACACCCACCAATCAGAGGCCGAAATGGGCGGGACGTGCGGGGGCGCGCGTCCCATCACTCCCCAGCCTGCTGGCTAGTTCCCGCCTTTTTTATGGAGACTCAGAAAGATGCTGCTTCAGGTTACGGAAAAAGCCTTGCCCTCCGTCGTCCCCGGGCGGGGTGCTACTGCGCATGCGTGGGCTCGCCCGCAAGGCTCCCGAGGGCTTTCCGGGTGGGTTTGTAGGATTCAGGAAGAAATGAGGAGAACCGCGGGACGGCCACGGGTCTGATGAAGAAAGTTCCCGCAAAGCCCGAGGTGCCTGGCAACCTACTGAACGTAACGTTTCCGCTTTACTGTCTCAAAGACACCTCACTGTACATGTTCAAGTTTAACGCATGAATTCTCTTGGCACGTCTAACCGATTTTAACCTCTTAGGTTCCCTGTGTTCTTGAATTACATCGTCAGACAGCTGGGAAGTATAGCTTACATCCGTACATACAGTCATCTCAATGATTCTGGGCTGCGATGGTAGGAAGGAGCTGCCAATCTCCATATCCAGACCATTATGGTATCATCTTCCTTGGCCTGCGGCAAGTAACCTGCCACCAGTCTTAATTTTCTCCAGTTGGCCACACACAGCCCACCTCTACCCTAGAGCCACAGACAGCTAGAAAGCTATAGGAAACGAAATTTGACTGCATCACTTCCTTCAAAGGTTTTTGATCACCTGTAGTACACAAGTAAAACTCTTTAGAATATAGCTTTCGAGTCTCTCAAATTTCCATCTCGACTTTTTGGCTCCATCCTTACCGAGCCACTGTCAGTTCGCTGAACACTCCCAAGTTCTCCTCTCTGAGCCTGTAGCACTTGCAGATCCATTGTATTTAAGAAGTGAGACTATTATTAGATTGTATGCAGTTTTTCATTATTACATATAAGCAGTGTATCGGTGAACATATTTGTGTTTTTCTGCAATTATCTATATTATACATCATGGAATTTGGGCACATAGGTTATGTGCATTTGACCTTTTCCTATGTGTTACCATTTTGCCCCCGAAAAAGGTTGTAACAAATGACGTTTCCACATATACTGGGTATTCTCATTCTTCTTATACTTTGCCAAACATTATATGAAAAAAGAAAAATACCCCCAAGATATTTATTTATCCATTCAACATTAACTGATCATTTATTCTGTGCCAGGCCTGGTCCCACGGCCTTGGGATTATAGCAGGAAACAAAACAAAGCCCCTACCCCTTCTAGCCAGTACCAATGAGTAATTCAACATAAATGTTGATGACTGCTATGGAGAAAAAAGAAGGATAACGTTGTTAGGCCGGGCTGGGGTAGAGCTTGCTATTTTAATTGGGGTGGTCAAGGAAGGACTCTCTACAAGGGTGACTGACCCTCAATCTGAGAACTGAAGAAGTAAGGGTAGGGGCACCTGGGTGGCTCAGTCGTTAAGCATCTGCCCTTGGCTCAGGTCATGATCCCAGGTTCCTGGGATCGAACCCCACATCAGGCTCCCTGCTCCACGGGAAGCCGGCTTCTCCCTCTCTCTCCCACGCCCCCCTGCTTGTGTTCCCTCTCTCACCGTCAAATAAATAAATAAAATCTTGGGGGAAAAAAGAAGTAAGGGTAAAAACTAGGCAGACATCTGGGGAAAGGGCATCCAGGCCTGAGGAAAGTAGTAGGCCTGGCAAATTCAAGGAGAAACAAGGAGTGGCAGGCAGGCTGGGGCAGAGTGAGTACGAGCGAGAATAGTTAAGGGTAGGATCTAGGGACATCTTCACCATGATTGCCAGCAGCATGCATTGTCGGTAATAATATTAACAACAAAGCAGAAGGCATTTTGCCATTGCAACCTCCCATTTCCACACTTTGCAAGCAGAGAACTTCTGGTGTTAGCTCAACTGGTGAGCAATCTGTGGAAATGCTTTAGCAGTACAAGGACGAAAAGAAGGTAATCATTCATAACTCTGATCATCTGCGTATTAAGTAAAGCCCGATTTTATACTGGTGTCACCTGACACAAAAACGTTCCAGACCCCACTTCCCAGCCACCCCTCTTACCACGCCTAACGGGCCAGGTTTGGGCAGAGAAGAGATGCGGCTGCGCAGTAGCGCTGCGCCACCCGCGCACCCAGGGACCCCGCCCAGCCCGCAAGTGGGCGGGGATAAATCGGCCAGGCTCCGGAAGCTGCTGCCGCCTGCCCTACTGACGTGGCCGGGCAGCGGGACGCGTCGCCGAAAGTCGCGGTGGAAGTTACCTGCGGTGTACAGATCTAGCGCTTTACGCTGCCAGGCACTGCTGAGCTGGGAGATGTCAGCTGCAGGCCGGACGGAGCCCTTGGGTCCTCCCAGCAGCTTTGCGAAGCGGCTCCTGGTGACCGGGGGTGCTGGTTTCATGTAGGTAACGGCGCCGCTGGCCGAGTAGTGGCTCCCCAGAAACCCCAATCTCTTCCTGAGCTTCTGCTTGCTCTTGGCAACTTGGAACCAGCTTGGGGGCGGGGGGGTGTCTTAACGCACGAACAGGATCCCCCTACCTTCTTCCCCCTCTCCCGGTCCGCGAAGACGTGGTTCCTTTGAAACTGCGACTTCTTTAAGATGCCTCCCAACCAAAGCCAAAGTGCTGTGGTTCTGTCTGACTTCTCACCTGGCCCGGGATGCACCTGACACTCTTCTGAGTGCCCCCACATTGCAGTAAGCCTCTCACCAACTGCCCCAGCCTCCATCCCGCCCCCTCCGTACACAGAAAGGCCTTGTACGTATAAGCGCCAAGAAACAAGTTTTGGATTATAGTAGGACATTCATTTATTCAGCGGGCTTAAAAACAAACAAACAAACAAACAAACAAAAAACCCTCTTTTGGTGCTTTGACCTGGATGAGATGTGTGATGCCTCTTTCTCACACCCACATGCAATCAGTGAGTCCTCTTTCACTGCTTCTGAAGCGAACACTTCTCTCCCCTCCCCCCTCCTCTTCTAGTCCACATTACTGTCTTCTGCCTGGATTACTACTGTAGCTTCCTGATTGGTCATACTGCCTCCCCTCTTGTTCCCTTAAAGTCTGTTCTGCACAGAGAAGTCAGTGTTTATTAAGTAAGTTAAGTGCATAGAGTTTTACCCCAGTGGTTCCTGTCAAACTTAGAATACAATCCATACTCTTTAGCATATCTAGAAGACTCAAGTGTCCAGGCCCTACTTTTCCAACCTGATCTGCCTTTCTGCCTCTTTGCTTTTCTGTACCTGCCACACTTAATCTTTTTGGAGTTCCTGGAATACATGAGGCCCATTCCTCTCCTCCTGTCTTGAGGCCTTTGCACTTGCTTCCCCTTTGGTTAGAGTGCTTGCATCTCTCAGTTCGGATGGTTACTTACATATCACCTCGTGGGACAGGCATTACCTGGCCATCCCATCTAAAATAGGCCCTTTCCCAACTCACTAATCACTACCTGAAGTCTGAAGTTATTTTGTGTATTAGTGTTTACTTGCTTATTGTCTGCATCCCCGCTCGAGAATGTCAACGGGATCACTCACCATCTATAAAAATGCCTGGCTTATTTTACAAAGGTCTTCAGTAGTTATTGAATGGACAAATGCATAGGTACCAACAGAAAACTCCCAATGTCTAGTGGAAGAGGAACATGGGAATCACCTCCCCCATTAAATCGCCTCTTCAAATCTGACAATAACTTGGAGGAGGGTATCAGACAGGCAGGGTTTATCTAATGAGAAGAGGGGCATGGGCATAAAAGGTTGGTCCTTGTGTGAGAGTGCCGGTCCCCGGAGGGCAAGTTCTAGTTGTGTGAGAGTGCTGGTCCCCAAAGGGCAAGTTCTAGAAAATGATGTGAAAGGGCTGTCAAGTACAAACTCTTGAGTTCATAATTTGGTCAAGGGCTGTCCTTGTTCGTGGGAGCCCAGTGTTTTTGTGTCTATGAGAAAATCTGGTGGCTCATCTCATTGACAGATGTCTCTGGTTCCACTTCAGGTCCTCGGAAACCCAGGAGCCACTATGGCTTTCTAAGGATGGCCTCAGCCATTATTAGCCTTGGAAACCGAGGTTTAATCTAGAACCTCCCAGAGGATTCTAGTTTATACCAGCAAATTCTTGTACCAAGAGATAGCAATTGCAGTAGGGTTACTGTGAACATAGACAACTCCCATGCTCATACTAACTTAAGTTTTGCATAGTTATACCTACAGTGTCTTAAAAGGTATGTTATAGTTTCAATCTATCTGTACTGACCTCCACCCATTGTATTTATCCTGCTTCACTCCCACACTCAAAGCACATGGACAAAATCATTTGGCTAAACTATTTTTTTCCTTATACCTAGGACCAGTAAATTCTCTTTTCTCCACGGTGCAAAGGGATATCGATATATCAATACCGATTATTGATACTGTTGAGAAAGTTAGTGAAAAGTGGGGGGTGGGGAAGGAGTGTATTCAGTGTCGTTATGTTATTTCTGTTATTTTGCAGAAACTTAAAGGTATCTTTGAATGTTTGCTAATACTCAACAGGTTATGGTAACATTTAAGAAATGTGAGGAATTTAAGGAAAAGGTTGTTTTCTACTAACACAATATACTTTTTTCTTAAAGCGCATCACATGTGATTGTCTCTTTAGTAGAAGATTATCCAAACTATATGATCATAAATCTAGACAAGGTGAGTTTTATAAAAATGAGCTTCATGCACTGACACTTATGTACATTTTTTAAAAGTATTAGAATCTTATCACGCTGATATTTTAATTTTTTATTTAGTCATTTTAACAACTTAGGGGCCTACATAGTCATGTGATCATGCTGTATTTAATCTTAGTCTTTTAAAAGTTTTTCATTACGATAGCCCATAAAGTGAAGGTTTTAAGTGCAGTATTTTTACCAAAAGAAAATCTTCAACCTAAATATTTAATGTAATCTTGTGATTATTAACCTTTTTCCAGAGTTGGGATACTCTCATTATTTGATTTTATAATTTTATTATAACTTATAATTTATTATTTTATTATAACTGCCACCTCCTGGAAAATTACACATTTACTTCTTAAATTAAAACTAATTTAGCTTTGAGGATTTTTCTGTAATAATTGAAGTCTCCCTGTAGAGTCTGAAAGCCATGATTGATAATCACTGGATTTTTGACTTTACACACAAGATGCAATTAGTTACCTTAGTTTCATAAAATGTAATAGTAAAAATCTATAGACAGAATAATCTGTAGGTCTTAACAATTTTTGCCTGCCTTACTTATCAGGGGCAGTAATTTTTTTCCCCCTTTGTATGGGGATTTACCAACAATTAACTCAGGAAACAGTGTAATGAGTTACAATATGCATAACACGGGTGTAATTGTTTTCAAGTACTAATTCCTTTGCAGTAAGAAATGGTAAGTTTTTCTGGTGGCTGGGGGCAAATCTGGGCAGAAAAATTTTTTAAAGGAGGGGTTTCTAAAAAGTAATTTTTTTTGTATTTTGAAAAGGTAACAAAATGGCATGGTTTTTGTTTTTTACTTTTTAAGATATCGGAGACTTCTTCTAAAAACACAAAGAACAAACACTTTAAGAAGACATGTTTTTATATTATGATCAGAACATCTACAGTCTTTAGAATATTTTATAGGAAAAACTATTACCACTTTTTGTGTTGTTTTCTCCCTCTCCCTCACTTACTTGTTTTAAGCTGGATTACTGTGCAAGCTTGAAGAATCTTGAAACCATTTCTAATAAACAAAACTACAAATTTATACAGGTATGAAACTTTTCTTATAATTACATAATTATTATGGTGTGTCTCTTTAGCCATTCAGACATTCTATCTTTCTACTTCGCAAGCTTGTGTAATGTGGGCTTGGAAAGCATGCTTATTAAAGACCTTTTGATTTCCAGAAGTACCATGTGCTATAGAGAATACTGATTTTAGATGAATACCACTATAAAGCTGCATGTGATATTTGGTGCCTTGGCAGATCTATGGGGAGGTGATTGAACTTACATGGTTTATGATTTTTAGGTCCTCACTAGCCTTAATGAGACCTTGCTGGGATTTAAAGAGATTCGTATAAAGGGGACTGTTACTCAGGCCAGGCAACAGCCAAAAAGCCCAACATACAGCCCATGGGGTGATCTTCTTCTATGAGGGTGGATTGATTGGCTCTGGAAGGCTGAGTCTTACTAGGCACTCTTAGAAGAGTCCAAAGTATAAACCAGAGAGCCAGGTCATTAAGTTGCAAAGGGAAATTTTAATGTCAGATGAAACTATTTAACTCATGATTTATGTTTTTCTTTAAAAAGGATAATCTATAAACTCTCTTTTTCACCACAAATTATAAAGAATATACTGAGCAAACATTTTATAATTCTACTCTTCTATATGAAAGTGTTTCTTTCAGTCACCAAAGAATTGTTGAGAATACATATTTTTAGAATAATTAAATGTACATATAAAATCAAAAGTACTCATAAGTTCACTTAGTTGTGGTGAAACACATTTTTTAAAATGTCATTGTAATTGTTACACTTAACTTTAAATATATTGCAATAATGGTTACCTCAAACTTTAAAAATATGTTTTAAAAGTTTCCTGTTAACATGAGGTTGGCAAGAATGTTATGGGAAAAAGCTAGCATGGTTCTTAGTCGTAGTTGGTGTTTGATAAAATACTGTTTTAGACACATTTGCAAAAAAGTATCTTGAATTGAATATCTTATATCCTAGGATGCTGGAGAAATACATCATTACTATACTTACTTGACCCCTTGCTTGGATTTTCAAGATATTCTCTGTTAAAGCAGGGTGGTGGTGGTGGGGGATTAATTTTTTTCTTATCAATGTTTGGGTTCATGTGGTGAAATAGTTATTACCAATGGGAGGCCTGAATGAAATTTTGCTTTTTCCTGTTTGCTTTTCATATAGGGTGACATATGTAATTCTCACTTTGTGAAACTGCTTTTTGAAACAGAAAAAATAGATATAGTACTACATTTTGCTGCACAAACACATGTAGGTAAGCATTGTTTTATGTTACAGTTATGAAGGGCATTTTTTTTCCCAGTGACTAATTAGCCTAAATCAAAGTCCAGTATTGAAGTCAAACAAGTAGGGGCTTAATATGTCTTTGAAAGAGCACATGCCATGCCCTACCAGGAAAACTGGGTGCTTTTCTGGGCACTTTTATTCGTGTAGGTTGAAATATAACCTTGAATGCTATCTTAAAACTTTGAGTTTAACTAAATTCAATATAGTGATTACTTCTGGGGAGATGGGCCTTCAACTGTACTTTTAATTTTTTTTTTTTTAAAGCTGGGTCTTGTGTATACACGGTTGAACATTATATTAAAATCCATACTGTTTCGTGCATCTGAGATATCTTCTAATTGTCTACCATTTTATATTGTGCAATATACCATACATTCAGAAGAATTTAGAAGTAAAGCTAAATGAGTAGTGATGATACGAATACCCATATAGCCATCACCTAAACAAAAGATAGAATGTTGCTGAATCCTCATTGGTAGTATATTACTGCCTTAGTACCTGATTTTAAAATTATAATCTCCCTTGGTCTTCTCCACAGTATATTTAGGAGATTATAACAGAATATAGAGATATTCCTCATTCCTTTTTATTTTCATATACTCCATTGCATAGATGTACCACATTTGTGTTTGTTTCCTACATTTTGCTGTTTAAATAGTAAGTACTGCAGTGGATGGCTTCGTGCCTGTGTATATTTGTCAATTGATGTTGGGTAGGGGTTCCTAGAAGGAGGAATTTAGGGTAGATTAGTTTGCTAGGGCCGCCATAACAAAATACCACAGATTGGGGGCTTAAACAACAGAAACTTAGTTCTTACCTTTCCGGAGGCTGGAAGTCCAAGCGCCAGCAGGGCCGGCTTCTCCTCAGTCTTCTCTCCTTGGCTTGCAAATGGCCACTTTCTCACTGTATCCTCACACAGTCTCCCCCTGCGCATCCCTAGTGTTTCTTTTTGTGTCAAAATTTCTTCTTTGAAGCATACCAGTCATGTTGGACGAGGGACCTGAATGGCCTTATTTTTATTCAATCACCTCTTTAGAGGCCCCATCTCCAAATATAGGCACATCCTGAGGTACTTGGGGTTAGGGCTCTATCATGAATTTGGGGGAACACAGTTCAGCCCGGTAACCAGGGTTAAGGGATAAAAGCATATGTAATTTGCCTAGATATTGAGAAATTTCCTTCCCTAGGGGTTGAAACACATTGTATTCTTACTCCTAAGGTATAAAGTATCTTCCCCCATAGCCTCACCAACAGAAGGTATTGTCAAATTTTTAAATTTTTTGCCAGTCTGATAGGTAAGAAGTGGTATGTATGAGTTTTCATTTTGGATTTTCCTTATTGTAATTGAGGTTGAGCATCTTAAGCTTAAGGACCTTTGTATTTCTTGTCTAAACTATTTGTTTATGTCTCCTATCCAGGAGGGTTGTTCCTTTTTATTTTTTATAACTTCTTTATAGATTGAATATATTAGCCCTTTGTTTCTGATAAGTTCAAATATTTGTCCCAGTTTGTCATTTGTCTTTTTACTTTGTTTATGGATTTTCTGGTTGTTTGTTTTTTCTACGCAAGAGCTTTTACATAGTCAAACTGATCAGGTTTTTTTTTCCTTTTGTTTCTGGATTGTGAGCCATTTTTAGTAAAGTTCTCCTCATTCCCAGATTATAGAGAACCTATTCTTCAAAGTAAATTTATTTTAAAAATAATTTATCCAGCGTTTATTGTGTTTTCAGCAATAACAGATTGATCTGAAAAGCCTTGCCATCTATTAGTAGAAACTAGAAGTTTCAAGTTTTAAATTTAAGAACATTTTAAATTTAGATGTATCATTTTTTTTCTTTTTAGAATAAGAAAAAAGTGTTTCCTGCAAATTTAGCAGTGATAGTTTTCGAGGTTCTAAGAATTTTCATGTACTTCATAATTTAGGCTTAAAGCAATCATAGGTAGCAATGTGTTTTTGTTATTTTTTTAAACTATTGCAGTTGTGGTGAATGAAGAGAAGTGAATAGAGCTTTCCTTAAACCTAAGTCTACTGTTGGGTATTTGTTTTGTCCTTTGGATGAAATTGTTCTAGCTTTTTCTCTTTTTTTAGATCTTTCATTTGTACGCGCCTTTGAGTTTACATATGTTAATGTCTATGGCACTCATGTTTTGGTAAGTGCTGCTCATGAAGCCAGAGTGGAGAAGTTTATTTACGTGAGCACAGATGAAGTATACGGAGGCAGTCTTGATAAGGTAAGCTCAGAAATGGTATGTTTCACCCTACTTGCCATGGACCATAATGCAGTCTGTCTTATTAAAACCTTTTGTGGGCTTTTCTCATCCCCTCATTATACACACTGTGGGACTCTCCAAAATGTTATTCCTTTGTGTCTTCTGTTCAAATCAGAGAATGCTACCTGAAATGGCAACAACCACCTCATCTCAATACAAACTGATATGTAATTTGACTGTCAATATTTTACAAGAGACCAGCACATCCCACCTTTCTGTCTCAGTCCATACGTGATGAATGTCATTCCCACGGGCCAGGCATAGGTAAATAGGTTGCAGCTTAGTGTCTGCTCACCTTTCTCCTCCACTTGGGAAACAATGGAATGTCAAGGAGTGAATGTGAAATTACTGTAGAAACTAGAATCTGTTCTCCCTTTTTAATCATTTGTACATATTATACTTTTTATGCAGAAGATGTCTCTTTTCTCATCTATATTTTTTATCATCATTGTTTTCAACGAGTGACCTCATTCTGTTTTATATTTTTACCAAAACACATACATGGTGAAAAAAAAAAATCAAGCAGTTTGAAAAAACTTATAATGAAAAAAGCAGACCCAGCCCACTTCTCCTCAATATCCAGTCCCACCTGTGAGAAGCAGTTATTCTCAATTCTCATTGCAATATTTATGAGGTAGACTTTTTTCTTCCTGTACCTTTGTCATCCTACATCAGATCTGACAACAATAGCCAGAATGATTTTTAAAATATAAGTCAGATCATGACATTACTCTGCTCAAAACCTATTCGTATTGTGACACTGGCCTTCAAGGTTCTACATGTTCTGGCCTCCCTCTAGCTCTCCAGCTTCATCTCCTGTTTCTCTTCTCTAACATCAACTTCCTTGAAGTTCCTTTGGACACAGTTCTGTCCCAGGACCTTTGCACTTGCTGTTCTCTGCCTGCCTTATAGGGTTGTTGTGAATGCTGTTCTATAAAAAATGCTTAGAAAAATGCCAGGGACATAGTTGGGGTTCAGTAAATGTCTTTTAACATGTAGTAATTAACATTTCAGGTTTATAATATGTTTTCTGATTTTTCTACTTAGAAACTATGCATAATAGGTGTATTTTTTAATGCATCTTTTTAAAATTAGGAATTTGATGAATCTTCACCCAAACAACCTACAAATCCTTATGCATCATCTAAAGCAGCTGCTGAGTGTTTTGTACAGTCATACTGGGAACGATACAAAGTAAGAACTGATTTCAGAAACTCTTGAATCATTTTTCTTTTGACTTAGGTGATAACAACCCCAAGTTAGCATTAGCCACATTCCATTTTTAGAGTTGAAGACATAGATTGAGGAGTTTATATATTAAGGAGTTTAAAATACTTATTTCCTATATTGTGTGCACAAAGTAGGACCTACTTCTTGTTCAGTTCACCACTTGAAGGAATAATTGATGTATATGTTTTCTACTTCAGTGGTATGTGGAGTATTACAGGTATAGGGAAAAGCCCTCTTGGAATATCCTGATTCCCAGACTCCTCCAGGTGGAGGACAGAGGGGGGCAGATTCTGTGACCTGCCACATGCTCGTCTCTGCATGGTTCACCTCTCTGGCTCCTCGTGAATGGGAGTTGACATTTTCTTGCCTTTTGTGTTCCATAGCACTGGCCCTTTTCCCTCTTGTAGTAGCTCTTTTTATTTGTAAGGGTTGGTGCATCAGGGAAAGACAATGTGAAGTTTCACATCTAACCAAACCTAAGGTCCAAGACGCAGTCTCTGAAATCATCGGGTAGACATTCCCTTGATTTCCTGCTATCAAACCTAACTAACCTGCCCCCATCTATATTCATCCGGCTCTTGTCCCAGGAAAGAAAATATTCCTTTTCCTTTTAGGAGGCTCTGCCTTTCTCTGAATCCTATCCTCTCCCATATTTTCAGGAACCTTACATCAGAAAAAAATCCCTTCGCTTCTGTCCTTAAGGTGCGTGGAGTTACTTAGCTGCAGGTGCCCATCTTTTAGGACTGCTTATCTTCAGAAAATCATTACAGTTGAACCTCTTATTGCATTAACATTGACTACTTTTTAAAGTTTCCAGCCGTCATCACGCGAAGCAGTAATGTTTATGGACCACATCAGTATCCAGAAAAGGTACATTTTGTGAATCCATGGTGTGTTTTTAGTGATTGTAGCTTCTCATTATTTACGATAATCTCTCTTCAGTTATTTGTCTGGAATAATTTCTGCTGTAATTGTACGTAATTTTAAGCACTGTATAGGCCACACATGCAAATCTCATCAGTTTTAGAATCTGAAGACCTGAGTTCACGTCTCAACCTGACACCAGCTGGCGTGACCTTAGGCCCTTGGAGCATCATCTTTGAATTGGGGGATAATGAAAATACTGAGAAGGGATTTTTGAAGGATCCAGTGAGATGATAATGTGGAAATGCCTGGTGCTCTTCACGATTCTGAAGCACTATAGAGCATTCTGTCATGTTGCTGAAGACTCCTTCCTGGTTTGCAATCTAGAAATTTGAGAGCTAGTTAGAGAGTCCTGCGGGAAGCTTGTACAGAAATTTGTCTTCCCGTCAGCTGACTCACTGTTTCCCAGCTCCTCTTCACTCCTCTCCTCTTCACTGTTGCTGGCCTGAACGTCTTCCAGAAAGTAGTAAAACTAGTGAATGAAAAAATGTAGTTAAAAGGTTGAACCAACTGTGCAGTTGGTTCTGTATCATTAAGCCTAATTGAAGTAACCATTGCTTTCTGTAGCTAAAAATTTGGAGATAGGGTTTTTCACTTTCCAACTCGTTGCATTTATCTCTTTGGCCAAAGAAAGGGGCCATGTCATGATCTCTTGGTCTTAATATCTACTTTGCTTAATTTGGGGAGTATCTTTCAGAAGTGCATTGTAAGTTTAATAATATATCTCACCCTGTTTAACATGACTTTTCTTTGAGGTCAATGGCACTGGAATTTACTTCTTATTAATTTCACAAGCACTGATTGAATAGGTGCTGTATGCAAAGCAATAAATAAGATATGATTCCTGCCCTTATGAAATCAAAGGTGAGCTTTTGTGATGAGACCAAACTGTTCATGAAGACTTTTTCTGAATTTTTACACTATTTGTATCATTTTGTCTTTATATTTGTCCAGCAGATATCTTGTTTTTGTGAAATAGGAAGCTATTTTAGAGTTCTTTCACTTATCAAAATTACAATAGCTTTTTTCTTGAACTGATAAGAATTAGAATTTACCTCTATGTATATTTCTTAATAATCATAATCTATTAATCTTAAGATGAGTTAGATTCATATTAATGAGTGAGTTTCCAATGTCTGAAATGATATTTAAATATTCTTTTAGGTTATTCCAAAATTTATATCTTTACTACAACACAACAGGAAATGGTATGTTATTATTTACCTTTGTACCCATATGTTTTTCTGGTATGTGGATAGTATTCAGTGACAGACTTTCTTGAAAATCATAGTCTTGCGCTGAAGGCCATAGAATGGAATGTTTCAACAAATTTATGAATTCCTTCTACAATCAATGTGATGATGGTTCTTTAAATAATTACAATCTGTTACTCATTTTTATAATTTACTTAGATAATTTTAATTTTTTTTATAATTCCAATTCTTAAATAATGTATCCTAGAACTTTGAATTATTGCATTAAGATCTGACATCAGTCTTTATATAATTTTACTTTCCCAAAGGATTTATCTAATTCACAGAGCTATACATATTTCTTCAAGATGAATTTAAGGTAGAAAATTGATAACTTCTTTCTCAGGGGTCATTTATATGTTTGCTACTTCTCCTCTGAGTGCTGTAGGAGGTTCGGTGGTCATTTAAAAATTACGGATAAAATTTAGAAAAGTCATGAGAATTTGTGTTTTCAGTAAAAGATTTCTAGGCTCCCCATGGGAATTGGCTTCTTTGGAGTTGTGTTACCCTGGTTTGGGAGAGCTTACTTTTTATACTTTATGATCCGTTTCATTTAATATTTTTAGCTGCATTCATGGATCAGGGCTTCAAACAAGAAATTTCCTTTATGCGACTGATGTAGTAGAAGCATTTCTCACTGTCCTCAAGAAGGGGAAACCCGGTGAAATTTACAACATCGGAACCAATTTTGAAATGTCAGTTCTCCAGCTTGCCAAAGAACTAATACAACTGGTATGTATATATTGTAAAAGGGTAGTGTTTTCAGAATTGTCACTAAATTAGTGGCAGTAATCACTCATTTAGTCCAAATCAGCAATTTACAATTTACTCAAATGGAAAGTGAGTGAGTAAAAAAATCAAAAGTACATGGAGATATGTCATTACTGGAAGTTCTGTCATTCATTTATAACAGCTTTTCAGGAAAATAAAAATCTAACACATTCAATGTAGATATTCATTATAACAAATACCTCAGCGTCAGAAATACAAAACTGTGTGTGCTAATCTTAAGGATCGATGATGTGTAAGTAATTATAGTTAGGAGTGTATGTATGCATTAGTGAACATTAATTCTCAGTCTCAGGATTCAGTAGAAAGGGAGACTTGGTGTACTGAAATACTTTTCCTTTACACTGCTCTCAGAATACTTTGTACTCCAAACGTGGGTTTTTCATACCAAGAAATTCTCAGAGACAAGCTGGGTGACCTATTATTTAACTCAATTCTGACATTATCTGCCTGGAGATGGCTTCAGATCCCATAGGCTAAGGGCTTAGTCCTCCAGGATGATCCCCTGCTTCATGCACCAACCACAAAACCTGGTTGTCACCTGTGCTTCTGACCACTGGTAATACAGCAGAGGTGTTTAGCCGGAGTGACTCACTGGCTCATTGCAAAGGATAGAACTCAGGAACAGCCAGATGGAGGAGATGCCTGGGGCGAGGTATGAGAGAGGAGCGTGGATTGATCATGCACTCTCTGGGCTTGCCACCCTCCCAGTACCTGCATGTTTTCAGCAGCTCAGATGTTCTTCAAACCCCCTTGTTTTGTTTTTTTATGGAGACTTCATTAAGTAGTCATGATTGGTTAAATCATTGACCACTCGCTATGAATTCAGCCTCCAGCCCTCTGAGGACAGGGTTGGTTCCCTTGGCAACCAGCCCCATCCTTAGGGGCTTTCCAAAATTCACTCATTAACATAAACTCTGGTGTGCTTAAAAGGGGCTTGTTATGAATAGCAAAAGACACTTTCATCTCTCATCACTTAGGAAATTCCAAGGGTTTAGGAACTTGGATAAAGACCAAATATATACTTCTTATTATAAATTACAATATCATACTGAATAATAACCAAGAGTCAAAAAAATTAATTTTCTCCCCTAGTTTATGCAGTGTATTCCGTGTGAGCTTCAGATGGAATGTGGGTTATAAAACATGGAAAGTGTTACTAAAATGCTCTTCATTTTAGCTGTCTCCTCCACTTTGAAGGGGTTATTTTTCTTTTCTTTTGTAAAGATTTATTTATTTATTTGAGAGAGAGAGTGTGTGTGTGTGCATGGGCAGGGGGAGGGTAGAGGAGAGGGAGAGAGAATCTTCAAGCTGACTCCGTGGGGCTCGGTCTCACCACCCTGAGATCATGACTTGAGCCGAAATCAAGAGTTAGATGCTTAACTGAGTGCATCACTGAGGCACCCCGAAGGGGTTGTTTTTCTTGTCTTTTTAATCAGCTATTGAATCCTTTGTTATTCTCTGATCTTATTTTGTAACTTTGACTCAAAAGCCTTCTCCATTTTGACAGATCAAAGAGACCAGTTCAGAGTCCGAAATGGAAAACTGGGTGGATTATGTTAATGATAGGTGAGTTACAAGTTGAAACATTGGGGAAAGGTTGTGAAATCTTAGATACTTATACAATTCTAAAATATATGGACTTAACCAGAAACTAGTATTATTGCTCTTGAGTTTTTTGCTAAATACTTTTTCCTAATTATGTGTCAAAAGAATAAAGTGTAACATTATTGCCTACTAGCTGTGTGACTAAAGAAAGTTACTGACCTCTTCCAAGGCTGACATCTCCTCAGGTGTGAAATAGGGATAATGATGTCTTGTTAACAGAAATATTTTAAGGTTTTATTATAATGTATATAAAGTACCCAGGGTATAGAACATAAAAGCCCTAATACATTTATGTGGATTTATTTATTCATTCATCAAACATTTAGGTATGAGGCACTGCATTCATACCCAGATCATGGCTGAAAGCAGAAAAGGAGGAGCCACGGAGAGGGTTAGGTCTCTGGGATTACAGATGGTTTGTTTTTTTTTAATATGTACTTTATTTTACAAATTTTCTCTAAGTGTCATCAAGGAGAATTTTTTAAGAAAAAAATTGAGTTATGGTAAAGATTCATGGACACACATTAGTTCTCTTAGTATTAAATTTGTAAATATATATCCACAATGTCATTTTAAATCTGTTTTGTTTTCCGAGACCTACCAATGACATGAGATATCCAATGAAGTCAGAAAAAATACATGGCTTAGGATGGAGACCCAAAGTGCCTTGGAAGGAAGGAATAAAGAAAACAAGTATGTTATGCATTGATCCTTTTGGTGGGGGGGAGAGGAGATTCAGAAAAATTTAAAGGGAACGTAATTTACTTTTAGAACACTATAAATTCAGTAGAATGTCGTGATGCATCATTTTCAAGTTATTACATCTCATATATTTCCAGCACCAGGAACATATCTCCTAAGCATCTTGAATTTCACACCCTGACTTCTGCTTAGGCTTCCTGTGTCTTATCAGCATTTGTCAGAAACCTAGTTCATTGATTCTCAGGTGCAAACTTTTCACTTTTTTCACATCCTTAAAGGTGTGAGTTTTAATGTCACAAGTGTCTTATTATTCCATCTTCCTTTCTTTCTTGGTAATATGTAAAATAACGGTCCATTTTGAGGTCAGTGGTATCTTAGATTTTATGAGATATTGACAGTTGCAGTCTTTGAGTGTCTTAAGTCTTTTTATATTAGAACAAAATTTAGTATGTGCAGAAATAGCCATTAAAATGAGCATATATAAAATCTGTATATATATGTTAAAGTTTTGTTTAATAATGTATTTATGAGAAAAGATACACACATGTAGAAAAGAAGTATTCATTTAGAGCTTGACACAGAGTAGATGTGTTGAGTTTTTAAAAGCAAATTCAAAGATAATTTATCATTTTTTAACTAAAAAAACACTTTACTGGTAGTATAGTCACATAAACTAATTTTACATATTACCAGAAGGAAGATCACATCATCTCATTATGCCTGTAATGCAGTGTTGCTGCATGTACATGAACAAAACATTGCATTTTTTTCTGTAACTTTAAAACCAGTGCAAATGACTTACCTCTGTCCTGAATTTCTTAAAATCAGAATGTCTTAAGCACTTACACCAGCAAATTCAGTACTGAAGGACTTTTGAAGTTAAAAAGAAAACAATAATTGATTTTTAAATGTAAGTTTTCAGCTATTAAAACATCTTGTGATCAATGACATTGGTTAGTTCAGAATCAAATTGTTTTCTTCATGAGGTATCCCTTTGGCAAGACTGATTCTTACTTAAATTAAGAATCTAAGTAAAATTAGCTGAGTAGCTGATGGGCAGGATTTTTCTTACTTAGCAAGAACCCAGTAAATATTGGTTAACTGGTGTTTAGTGTTTTATTTTTTATTTTTGTCTTTTGTTTTTTTCCTACCAGTTGACTGGTACAGAGAGAATTTTCACAATTGGAAGAATGCAGAAAAGGCATTAGAACCCTTTCCAGTACAACCACCGTTTGTATAGAAAGGACAGTTTTTGGAGAAATTATCCTACCTTGACAAGTGATATGAAACCAAGTGACCAGATGAAGTGTCCTCTTCAGATGGAATTAGATTTGTGACTTTTGCATAAAATTCAAATGCAAAATGCCTCAATCTTTAGAATTGTTTTAGTATTGCCATATGATTTAAATATCAAGATTCTTTCAGAAACCTTTTTTCCTGAAAGTTTGGAACCAGTAGGCCTAGGAAGACCTCTCTGTAGAAGGGGGGTGGCCAGGAAGGAGGAATCTCGTGGTTCTGAGAACCAGGATGGGGAACAGCTCTGCGTGGATGACAGCCTTGGCTGGCACTGAACTCAGCTTCCCAGCCTTTCCCACTGCCCAGAAAGTCTCAAGTTTTCATTTTTAGGCAGTATAGGATGAGCCATATGCCCTCATTCATCTTTTTTTAAAGACCTGATGTGCTATAATTGTTTTAAAATGGGAACAATGGACGAGTATTTAGCACTTTTTAACTTTTGATAATTTTGTAAAATTAAGTTAAATGTTTTTTAAAAGAAAGATGTAGTTTTTATATTTTTGAAATCAGTTGTTGAACTATATATAACTGTATGAGAGAAATTTTATCATGTATTTACCATTTAAAATTATTTTATTTATAAAAGTATCAATATTTTAATGTATTTAATGTAGAATGTGGCTTTATTTTTAGTAAGGTAGGTTTTTATTTTGCTGTAGAAAAAATTTTATATTACTTGATTAAATATTTTTAATTCCTCTGTCTCCTAAAGACTTTATGATGACTTGAAAAAGCAACTGACTGGATATTGCATTGAGAAAGGGAAAGGAGTCCAAGACCGCCCAGCTTTCTGGCTTCAGTGCATGAATGATGGCTTGTTTCCTCTGTGGAGTGGGTAGCAAGGTCATTAACTCGGAAGTGGTTAAAGGAGGGGGTAAGAGTGGAGTAAGGGCCTTGAGGAGGTAGAGATCAAGAAAAGAATAAGCGGATCCAAAGTTAGTAAGAGGATTTGCCAAGCAGGAGTGAAACACAAGCTGAAGTTGAACATTGTAGTTCCAGAATTCTGAGATGTGTAAAAGTAGATTGATCCAGAGGTGGGCATAGTCGGAGTCAGGAGGGGCAGAGGGAGCAGAGGGCTGAGAGTGAGAGTGACCGAAGCGATGCCCCCTGGTCCTAGTTGTGTAGGAAAGAAAGTGCTTCTTGGGGGTGGCTGGTAGCTAGAAGAAATGGAGCGGGGAACGGGCACAAGGGCGTGGAGGTGAGAACTTAGAGAGGCAAGGAAGTTATAGGTAGAAAATGGGACCAACTGAAAGCAAATGGTCTTTGGTGAACTTTGGTCGTTGAGGGTAGATGACAAAATAAGAACACTTTCTCTCTGTCACTTTTTTTTGCACATATTTTTGTGTACACTTTTATTTCAGATTTCAACATACTCAGTATAGCTTAACCTTTATCATTTATCTAGTCTCAGGAGATGACCTTGGCAAGCATTAGGAACATAATGATAAACCAGTTTAAAAAAACCTTTATGCAAGAAGTGTAAAAAAAATGAATGTTCTATATCATCAGAGAAGTACAGATTAAAACAAAAATTAGATACCTATTAGAATGGCCAAAATCTGGAACAGTGACAACACCAAATGCTGATAAGGATGTGGAGCAACAGGAACTCTCGTAAATTGCTGGTGGGAATGCAAAATGGTACAACCACTTTGGAAGACGGTTTGGAAGTTTTCTTACAAAACTAAACATACCCTTACCATGTGATCCAGCAATTGCACCCCTTGGCATTTACCCAAAGGAGTTGAAACTTATGTCCGCACAAAAACCTGCAGATGTTTACATTAACTTTATTTGTCGTTGTCCAAACTTGGGAGCAACCCAGATGTCCTTCAGGAGGTAAATGGATAAATAAACTGGTGCATCCAAATTATATGAACTGTCAAGCCATGAAAGGACCCAGAGGAAGCTTACCTGCCTATTATTAAGTGAAAGAAGCCAATTTGAAGGGAATGTGCAGAAACATGCTCAAATTTAACACCTATAATGTTACCTATAATGATAAAAGAAGAAGCAAGATTGGGCAGGATGATGGTGCTGCCTAAGGCTTTGCAGGCAGGAAGGGCAAATCCATACAGAAAAAGTATCGTGAGAATAGACCACTGGCCCTTTCAGGTTAGAAAGTGCTTGATAGAGTTAACTTGCCACCAAGTAACTGTTTGGTTTCTTCAAGGAATAGTGTCCTATTGGGAGCTCAGCCTTTGTCTGTTGCCAGCAGGTTGGGTGTGTGGCAGTGGCAGCAGCTAGATTGGCCTTGGTAAGTGAGAGTCCGTCCTGGGGGCCCAAGAGTAGGTTCCATCTCTACATCTATGGTGAGTCCATTCCAATGCCCACTGTGGCAGTTCTGGGGTAGTTGATGGTGAAGGCTAGCCAAAGTCAATTAACCTACTCATCTTGTCTACCTGATAGTTAAGTGCCTCTTGCATGGTGGTTGCTTTCTAGTGGGCATCAAAGTGTGACACCTGGATCTTCACACTCCCCAGCCAACCCCATGTGGCCATTCACACACCTCCAAGCCTGCTTCTTATCTCTGCATCTCTAGTCTTTTTCCTTCCAAGTTTCCAAAGTGGCTAACCAGGCCATTCACCGCTGCCTATGCATTCATATATTTCTCACCTCAGGTCACTTCTGTACAAAGTGCAGGAGCAAGTACACTGCTCAAACCTCTGCCATTTGACAGATTTCTCCTTTGCACATTCTTTTAAAGTCACCCCTGTGTGGTTTTAATGCAGCCCCCATCTATTTGTGGCTTGTACATTACAAGCCAACTGATCTAGAACATTGGATTTTTTTCTCTTTTTCAGTGGGTTGTACGGGCCCTTCCACGTGGCTGCAGGTATAAGCTGAGAGAGGTAGAACCAAGCTGGTGACATGAGAGTCTAGCCTACCTGCTCCTGCAGCTTACTGGTGCCCTCTGATTCCACACAGACTCAATCCCAATGGGCCATTTTCATCTTACCATGGACTGCTACTGGGCCCACCTGACTTTATGGCTAGTTGGGTGCCTGAGTTCCTTAGGGCTGCCATAACAAAATACCACAGAGCAGGTGGCTTAAACAACAAATTTATTTTCTTGTACTTCTGGAGACTGGATGTCTGAGATCAAGTTGTTGGCAGGGATGGTTTCTTCTGGAGCCTCTGCTTGGCTTGTGGATAGCCACCCTCACCCTGTCTTCATGTGGTCATCTCTCTATGCATGCTCATGTCTGTGTCTAAATTCACTCTTCTTATAAGGACACTGCTCACCCCAGTGATTAGGATTGGATTGGATTAGCCCCACCCCCCAGACCTCATTTGAATTTAATTTTCTCTTTAACAACGTTATTTCCAAATGCAGTCACATTCTGAGGTATTAGAAGTTAGGACTCCAACATATGAATTGGGGAGGAGGGAGAACTCAATTCAGTCCATAACTGAGTCCAAAAGAACCCAGCATGTAATGGACAGTTCTGGAAACATGGTCACTTGATGTCAAGCATTCTGTCCAGTAACCTGCCAGGAGCTGTTTTCTAAAATCATAAAATTCTCCACTGTTCCCCCCAGAACCCTAGGTACTTGTATTGTGATTCTCCCACTGGGGCTCCCCATAAAATCTATGCTGCATCTGTGTCTGACTGACACCCCCACTACCACAGGGCCTGCCAGAGCATATGGCCCAAGTGGCAGGGATACTTGCCCCCCAGCTTGGCCCTGCTGCAGGGCCCTCTCCCTGCCCCAGACAGCCTCTGTGTCACTCCGTTTATGGGCTGGAACATTATTCCTACGTGTGGAATGTGTTGCCTCCAGAATCCATAGAGGCCTCCCAGCCACTACACTTCCTTCTCTGTGGAAGGGGGTATAAGAGGCAGCAATTTGATTTTCATCACTGGACTCCTAAGAATTTACTGAAATGGCAAGTCCTGAATCTTCATGGGGTTTATCTTCCACCTTCTAGGCTGCATGTGCATTACCAAAGCCAGCTGTGTTCTAACCCCTCCTGCTAATTCTGCCTGATCAGCATGATGCCATCAGTTTAATAGATCAACGTGACATTCTTTTTTTTTTTTTAAGATTTTATTTATTTATTTGACAGAGAGACACAGCGAGAGAGGGAACACAAGCAGGGGGAGTGGGAGAGGGAGAAGCAGGCTTCCCTCGGAGCAGGGAGCCCGATGCGGGGCTCGATCCCAGGACCCCAGGATTATGACCTGAGCCAAAGGCAGATGCCTAACGACTGAGCCCCCCAGGCGCCCCTCAATGTGACATTCTGCATGATGGTCAGAAGACTCAAGTCTCTTCATAGAGCAGAACCAGTAACATAGCCCTGGGGCAAAACCGTGAATGCACCTGGTTTCTGATGTTCTTTTTTTTTTTTTAAAGATTTTATTTATTTATTTGAGAGAGTGAGAATGAGAGAGAGAGAGAGAGATAGAGAGCGCGCATGAGAGGGGGGAGGGGCAGAGGGAGAAGCAGACTCCCCGCTGAGCAGGGAGTCCGATGCGGGACTCCATCCCAGGACTCCAGGATCATGACCTGAGCCCAAGGCAGCCTCTTAACCAACTGAGCCACCCAGGCGCCCTCTGATGTTCTTTTCTGATTGAGATAGAAAAGAATACATTCACCAGATCCATGGCTGGATACCATGTTCCAGGGACCTTGTAATCTGCTCTAGCAAAAGAGATGCCGCAGGGGCACGACTGCTGCCGGGGGTGCCACTACTTGATGGAGCCGGCAACTGCCTGTGGCTGTTCTCCAGCGTCCAGCCAGATTGGTGAATTAAATGGTGACTTGATGGGGACCCGGCCCTGCGTCCTTGCGACCCTTTAGGGTGGTGCTCATCTTCATGGGCTCCTCCACGTTGTGGTTTTTCTTTTTAAAGATTTTATTTGAGAGAGAGAGAGAGAGAGAGAGAGAGAGTGCAAGTGGGAGGAGGGAGAGGGACAAGCAGATTGCGAGCTGAGCGCAGAGCCTGCTGTGGGGCTCCATCCCATGACCCGAAATCAAGAGTTGGAAGCTCAACCGACTGAGCCACCCAGGTGCCCCGTGATTTTGTTTTGATTTACTATCTCTGCTAAAGGAGGAGTTCAGGCTGTTTGGAAAAACCTGGGCCCCTGGCACTCGGGATAGGAATATCTGGGTGGATACCCATAAAGATTTTGACTCTTCAGTTTTTTAACTGTAAAGTTCTGAGTTTGGTCTTAGGTTTTTTTCTGTTCTCCTATTTTAAGAAACAAGGCCCCCACACTTAACTGTCACTTGTTCGTTAACTGCCCTCAGCTTTTCTTCACCCGCTGTGGGGCATCCATGTGACTCAGGAACCACCAGCAAATTCCATGGTCCTCATATGACTTGCTCCCTGAAATTTTCGAATGCCTGAATTGTTGCAAGTTTTGGCAGTGGGGTTGCCACCTTGCTCGTGTGCTCCACGCCCCACTCAGGATGGCATTCTCGTGACCAGCCAGGGAGACAAACCTAACTTACCACCTGCTTTGTTGCACCAACTCTTGGGACCATCTGTGTCAGTTGGATCCTCTGGGGAGTGGTGACTGAGACAGAGGTAGGGGTGCAAGCAGTTGATAGTAGGAGGGGGAATGCTTGTGAAGGATGTGCAAGGGAGGATGCTTATCTGGGCAGGAGGGATCCCCAGGCTGCAGTGCAGGTCAGACAGCTGCAGAAAGGAAGGGGAGGGGAAGGGTGGGCTGGGAGAGCCTCAGCCCGCGTTGTAGATCTGCCCAAACAAACCCCAGCCAACTCCACAGGAAGCTCCAGAGCAAAGACGGCTTGGCAGAGAAGTCTCGAACTGGGCAGAAATGCCAGATGCCCCGTTGTGCTCAGTCGTGGGCTGGCGGCTGCGCTGAAAGGACTGAGGTGGATCCTGAGGCTCTACAGACAGAGGCTGTCTGCTAACTGCGCTCGCCGCAGCTGGATGGCAAGCTCCATCCTGAAGGGAAATGCAAGTGGTGAGACCTCCATAGCCCCTGCTGGGCTCTTTGCTGTGGGGAAGGGGTCTTGGGGCTTATCAGCTCCCTGCACAGACTTCCAACCAAACCGCTTGCTTTTCGGCCAGTGCCTTGCCCTCCCCCCACCCCCCGCCGCCCTGTGCCCACCTTCCATGGCTCCTGGTGCTCTGGGGGCCTTTTGTGAGGTTCCCCCAGCCCAACCTAGAGGTTCTGAGAAAACTTTCTGCAGATGACATTTGAGTTGTGTTGTGTTTTAAAGGATGAACCACAGTCAGTAGAGGAAACTAAGGAGGATCCCAGGCAGACGGGCCAGCCCTGTGGAAACACCAAGCCATGAACGATATTGTGTGTTCCTGGAACAGAGGTCCTCAGTAGTACTCTAGCTCGGATGTTCTCACAACGTGTCTCTAGTCCATTAGCGACATCAAAAACTGTAATGCGATACCACTTAATACCTTTTAGGATGGCTATTATTTGAAAAAGCAGAAAATAATAAATAATAAACATTCTAAGTAAGTAAACATCGGTAAGGATGCGGAGAAACTGGAATCCTGGTGCGTTGCTGGTGGGAATGTAAAATGGTGCACCGACCATGGAAGACAGGATAGCAAGTCCCCAAAAAGTTAGACACCGAATTACCAGATGACCCAGCAGTTCCCCTTCTAGGTACGTGCCTGAAAGAGTGGAAAGCAGGGGCTCAAACGGATTCTTGCACACCAACACTCATAGCATTATTCACAGTAGTCAGAAGGTGGAAACAACCCAAATGTACATCTTTAGATGAGTGAACAAGTAAGGTGTGGTATACACAAATGATGGAATGGTAGAATTTCACTTATACGAGGTACCTACAAATAGACAAATTCATAGACACAGAAGGTAAAATAGAGGTTTACAAGGAGCAAGGGGAAGGGGAGATGGGGGTGAAATAATTTAATGCCTCAGAGTTTCTGTTTGGAGGGTGAAAAAGTTCTGAAAGTGCATAATAGTCATGGCTACCCAACATTGTGAATGCACTTCATGTCGTTGAATTGTACGCTTAAAAGTAGTTAATGATGGTAAATTGTATCTTGTGTATATTTTGCCACAATAATAGTTTTTTAAAAATGTGTCCCCCAGACCAACAGCATCTCTAGCACTTGTTACAAATGCCAGTTCCTGGACCCCACCTTTTTTTCTTTTCAGACGTAAAGAATCTGAAACTCTGGCTGGGGCACCCCCATGTTTGAGCCCCACTGCTCTCCAACGTGAGAGGGGAAGTGAAGCTAGAGGGGAATGTAGGGGCCAGGGCCAGGTCCTCGAAAGCCTTGTGTGCCCCGAAAAAGTGCTTGGCCCTCATCCTGCCGACAGAGAGCTCACTTGAGATTTTAAGGAAGAAGTTGACATTGTTAGATTTGTGGGACTAAGCTTTTTCCCGATTTGAAAAGTAATGTGTGCTCATTGCAGAAAGCTTGGAAAACTAAATCAATAAAAAAAGAAAATCACCCTTGATCTACCATTGGGAGATAACCCCTGTTAATATTTAGATGTATATTCTTCCTTTCTTGGAGCATATATACACATTAAAAAAAAAAACCAATATGGGATCATAATGGAGACATACTGTTTTGGAGTCTGCTTTTTTTTGCACTAAGCAATATATCATGAATGTTTTTACATGTTATGAGATCTTTTGCCATTTTTATTGACTGCAGAATTACGTTTTTGATAGCTTATTCTGGCAAGAGTATGGAAGATGAATTTGAAATTCTGGCAAGATTGAGCTCCCGCGGGGATCCGAGTTACGAAGCTGTTGCAATAAATCAGACTGGTGATGATAAGGCTGAAAGCACCGTGCTGCGAACAGGTGGCGTCGAGACAGACGGCAGAACTCTTTAGATCAAAAAAAAAAAAAAAAAAGTGATCGATTATGCGGTTGGGGGGGAGCACTTTCTTGACTTGGGTGGTATTTTAAGGTTTTGGATGTTGAATTGTTAAGAGAATGGTAAATTACATTTGGGGGAGATGTTGAGCTGTAGAGATCGGTGGGGTGCCCGAGCAGAGATACCTAACAAACTGGCCAACGAACGTATAGATCTAGAGCTCAAATTGGTGGGCAGGGTTCAAGATCTACAGATACATATTTAGGAGTTAAATGGCTATTAAAGCCCTGAGAGTGGATTATATCTTCCCAAGGAGGGCACACAGAATGGCCAGGTGGGCAACACTGATTCACAGACAAGCCATGAGAAACACCAAGGTCTAAGTCGTAGGCAGAGGAGCCAAGGAGAACATTTAGAAGGGATTATTTAAAAGAAAAGAAAAGAAAAAAGTCAGAGGAGGGGAAGAGAACAGGGGAAGTAATACCACAGGAAGCAAAGGGTTCGACATTGAATGATAAGCAGCGGTCCGGCTGGAGTTCAGCAAGGCAAAGACTTTTAACAGTGTCTGTTTTGGCAACGTGTCGGCAAATTTTCTTGTCATTTTAGTGGAGTGCTGGGAGGAAGGAGAGCCTCTGGATAATAAAAATTGAGTAGTGATTAGGGATCAAAGATAGGAGACATGAAATTTAGACCAGTTTTTCAAAGAGCTGAGAAAAGTCAAGAAATGGCCAGCCCTACAGAGGATGCAGGGTCATGGAAGGTGTCTTTAAAAAATATATTTGGCCTAGGGGGGAGGGGGGTGGGGAGGATGGGTTAGCCTGGTGATGGGTATTAAAGGGGGCAGGTATTGAATGGAGCACTGGGTGTTATATGCAAACAATGAATCATGGAACACTACATCAAAAACTAATGATGTAATGTATGGTGGTTAGCATAACATAATAAAATAAAATTAAAAATATATATATATATATATCTGGTCTTTGTCCCAGGCTCTTGGCACAGTTCCTAAAACCTTAGGAATTTCCTGAGTGATAGGAGTGTCTTTGTTATTCATAATGAGCAGCTTCAGATCACAAGGGAGTTCATACTAATGAGGTGACTTAGGGTTGGGGCCCCAAGATAACCTCAGGACAGGGCTGGTCACCAGAAAGATCAAGTAATTAGGGAATGGGCTCTTTCAGCCCCGCCCGCCAACCTGGGCAAGGGGCCAAGGGCCTGGAGATCAAGCTCTATAAAAAAAGCTCTTGAACCAGGAGATTTGCTGAGCTGCCAGGTTGGCGAGCTCTCGGAGGTGCTGGGAGGGGGTGCACCCGGGGTGGGTGTGGGGAGCTCTGCACTCCTTATCCCACATCTTGCCCTGTCCATCTCTTCCACCTGGCTGTTCCTAGGTTGTATGCTTTATGATAAACTGGTCAATTGTCAGTCAAGTGTTGCCCTGAGTTCTGTGAGCTATGCTAACAAATTATGAGGCCCCACAAAGGTGTCATGGGAACCTGCAATTTAGAGCCAACTGGTCAGAAGCAGAGGGAACATACTGGACTTGCCAGGGGTGTCTGAAGTCGGGCAGTCTGGTGAGACTGAGCCCTAGTCGGGAGTGAATCCTGCAGGATCCGATGGCCACTCCAGTTGGATAGTGTCAATGGAACTGCATTGTTGGACGCCCAGCTGGTGTCCACAGAGATCCGAAAAACTGCTTGGTGTGGGAAAAACTCACACATTTGGGGGCCAGAAGTCTGAGTGTGGTAATAATAGAGAGTAGAGGAGGCAATCTAGTTTTTCTTCCAGAAGGGTTTTCAGAAGCTGCTCTATTTTGTTTCTAGCACCAAAGGGACTTCTAAACTATTCTAAACTGCAGGCTGGGCAGCAGAGGAGGAGAGATTGATGATCAGGGGTGCGTAATTACTGGGGGCAATGTCTGAGGACATGGGCACCATGGGGAAGGACTAGCTTGGCGGGGGGGGTGGGCAATGGGATCGGTGGTGTCCAGCTCATCCTCCTAGACCAGTAAAAGCAGGAGTTGAGAAGAGTTTGGATATAGAGATATGAGGGAAGGAACCTGAGGGACATCACCACGGCCTCAATTTCTACTTGAGAGTAATGGGGGAAACAGCTGAAAAGAGAAGTGGGGGTTTTGAAAAGGCTCAGGGGCACATGAGGGCAGACGCTCTGCCACTGCCAACACGAAGGCACAGCCAAGTCAAGACCATGAATCTACAGTGGCCCCTGATACAGCTATGGAAGAAGCGTCTGCGATGAACATCCCCGTACACACCTACCCACACAGGTGCGCATGTTTCTGAAGGGCTGATGCTGAGAACAGCTGTTTGGGGTCCGGAGGCACAGGTGCCTCGAGTTGGAAAGGCACAGCTGAAGCTGCCCTTGTGGATATTCATAAACCCTTTAATCTGTGCCAGTTTGGAAGATGCAAACATTCTGTTTTATTGCACTTCTGTCATCTTTAGCTAGCTCAAGTCTCTCTGTGTATGTTTACAGGTCACTTGTGTTCCTTTTTCTCTGAACTGCCTGTTTATACTGTTGCTGGTTTTTCAACTGGCGTGTTTGAAGCAGGTCTTTTTAAATGACATGATTAAACATTAATTGGAGCGTCTCCTTTGATGGCATGAGCTTCAGGGACCATCCAATTCTGTTCCCACCTCAGACCCCAGTCAGATCAGCCTCAGTGGTCTGTCTCCTCATGTTCCACATGGCTTCACGGCTGCTTCTACTCAGTCTGGACCCACCATCGTCCCCGTTGGTGTAAACTCATTCCCAGCACTCTTCATTCTGCTGCCTGCCCTCCTGATGGTTCATTCATCTGTCCATCCATTCATTTATTTATTCATTCAGTCTATACTATTGAACACCTACTGTGTTTCAAGCACTATCTTTCCTTAGCCCAACCTTGAATGAACCTAACCTTTCTCCTTGCCTAATTCTACACCTATACTAGAGGATATTGCTGAAAAAAACTTCAGAGTTTTACATATGGGTACCACCAACCTAAATAGGTGGATCCTCAAAACTAAAGCAATGCTTTCATCTGTTCCTGCTGAGCTCCCTTTTATACACCCCCGGGAAGGAGCTCTCGATTTTTATCAGTGTTACATTCCTGACCCAAGTGGGATCTCACTCATTCTCAGCCCGTTCTTCTGTTACTATTGTAGAAAAAGGCAAAATGGTGTAATGGTCACGAGTGCTGGAGTTGTGTCTTCTGGGCCAGAGCAAATGTGAAAACTGGTGCTCACCCTTGAACTTTTTTTTTTTAAGGTTTTATTTATTGGGGCGCCTGGGTGGCTCAGTTGGTTAAGCGGCTGCTTTCAGCTCAGGTCATGATCCCAGGGTCCTGGAATCGAGCCCCACATCGGGCTCCCTGCTCAGCGGGAAGTTGGCTTCTCCCTCTCCTACTCCCCCTGATTGTGTTCCCTCTCTTGCTCTCTCTCTCTGTCAAATAAATAAATAAAATCTTTTAAAAAAGAAGATTTTATTTATTTATTTGACAGAGAGAGAGCATGAGAGAGAGCATGAGAGGAGGGAGGGTCAGAGGGAGAAGCAGGCTCCCTGCTGAGCTCGATGCGGGACTTGATCCTGGGACCCCAAGATCATGACCTGAGCCGAAAGCAGTTGCTTACCCAACTGAGCCACCCAGGCGCCCACCTTTGAACATTCTTGAGTAACCCTGGAGCAGATGTGCTCAAGCTCACAAAATCCTAGATACCTAGATCCATTGATCCTATGAATTTCCTTGCACCATTCCATGTTTGGGGAGATTCGGGAAGAGTGCCAGGACAACCGTGTCCAGACAGACTTCCTTCTGGGCTGTCACTTGCTTGGAGGGACCGAGCAAGGAATCATTCACATGGCATCATACAGCTGGTGAGTTCTTGAGGAAGCATACACCCAGCTGTCTAAACCTGCGATGGAGAACTACAGTGTCCTAGGATTATCTAGTTAGCCTGCTGCTGGGCACGAACAAAGTGAGCACCGGGGTTAGTTATAAGGCTGTCCTGACCTATTTCTCAAATTTGAACACTGCCTTTGAGCCATCCAAACGGGCAGCTTAAAGTCAGCAGCTGCAGCATCCGCACAGGACAACCTTGAACCACCATCAAGCTCAGGAGAGCCCCCAGCACTTCCAGGTTCAAAGCCCAGTTCATCACTTCCTGTTTCTGTGATCTTTAGCACATTTCTTCAACTGGGGCTCACTATCCCTCTTTGTAAAATGGAAACAGTAGTTAATATGAATTTTAAATAAAGTAATGCATGCAAAACACTCAAGACAGTGACTGATACATAAATAAAAAGTATTTACTTTTATTTCACAGGACAAAAATAGCAAAAAGAGGAGTCTCTGTTCCTTAAACAAAAAATTGTTCCCTGCCTCCTGTCTTGGTCCCCCTCCTCTATTTACCAACAAACTCAAGAGTGTCCTCCCGACTCAGTGTCTCATCTGTTCACCTCCTGATCCCTTGACTTTTGCCCCATCACTTTCTGAGCTTGTTTTCACCATCCCCAATCAGCCTCTTAATGGGAAGCCAAAGGCCAATTTTCTTTCTCGTTCCCTGACAGCATGTGGCCCTCCTCATGCCCCATTTGTTGAAACTTGTTCTTTCTTGGTCTTTGGAGACACCCCTCTCCCATCTCGTTCTCCATTCCCCTGCTCTCTCCTCGCTGGCTTCTTCTTCTTCTTCCTTCTTTCTTCTTCTCCTCCTCCTCCTCCCCCTCCTCCTCCTCCTCTGCCTTCTTCTCTTCCTCCTTCGCCTTCTTCTTCTTCCCATTCCCGAAATTGACATTTTGGGCTGGATCAGTCTTGGTTGTGAAGGGCTGTCATGTGCACTGTAGGTTTAATAGCCTCCTTGGCCTCTACTCTTCCCCCAGTTCTGACAACCAAAAATGCCTCCAGACATTGCCAACCGTCCCCCTGGTGAACAAAATCATCTCTAGTTGAGAACCACTGCCCCAAGTGGTGATGTTCCCAGAATTCCTTCCTCGGCCCCCTCACTCACGGGGGTCTCATTCATTCCTGTTGCCTCAACTGCCATCTTCATGGTAACCATGATACCCACATTTCATTTTCCCAGCGCCTGCTTTTTTTCTGGGTTCTAGGATCAGAGGGCCTACTGCAGCCTGGTCCACCCATTTGGATTCCGGAAGATGGAATCAACTTCTCAACTTCCACAGATACACGAGAACTCCCCTCCTCCACAGCCCTGGATTAGTCGGCCTCCTGTGTTTGCAGTCTTGAAAAAAAGTATCACCATTCACCCTATCCAAGGCCACCAACTGTGACGCCATCATTGACTTTCTCTCACTGTCTAGGTCTATAGTCACTAAATCCTGCCGATTCCTCCTTGCCCATCTCTGAAGTCTGACTTTTCTAAAGCTCCCCCTACCACTGCCTTACACTTAGCACTATTCCCTCCCCACTGGTTTCCCC